AGTGTGGAGGCCTCCGCTGATAAGACCAAGTGGCAAATCCTCACTTTCATTCTGTCTCAAACAACTCCTTGTGCTCCACACCCTTGGCTCTGACTAGCCACACTCAAGCGGAGCTGTTATCAGCCACACAAAATCAACAGCACCAATCCAGGCAATACAATGACTGCAAAAAATTCATCTTTGCACTTGAGGTCAGCTAAGGGGCCAAATCGAAACTCTCAACTCAAGCTTGCTAAGTCAGTCATTCCCACCCCAGACATAGTTCTCAGGCCCCAGGTCTACATCTAACTTCAGGGTGGGGCAGAAGAAAATGCCGCAAGAACCTCGGCCTCCCCTGACTGCAGCGCCCTCTGCAGGGCTAGGCAGCTGGAGGAGGCCCAGTGCGGTTCAAAAGCATCACTGGGAGTCCTGGGAATATTAGCTGACACGTGGATCCAAGACCAAGCACTCGAGAGCAAGTTCCTGTACACCAGCCCCGGGGGAGGCTCAAGAAATGTCAGGAATTGGAAGAAAGGAATGCATGCCTCTGGGTGCCAAGGTTAATTGGGGGCAGAACCAGAGAACAACCAAAAGAGAAACGAGAAACCAGAAGCTGGCAGACTCAACTGATGGACTGTCTTTCTGCAGTCTTGTGAGTCCTGAAAAATGGCCGTACTGAATTCTAGAACCCTGAGCCAATCACTTGTCCTGAGCTGCTTCTCCAGGTTGGCAGTGCCCCGGGGAGTGTCAGGCATCAGTCTGCCCCTTGCTTTATGCCTGCTTGGAGCCCTCAGTAGCCACATATACATGTGTAAACTCTTCCAGGGGATGGGCCCAGCCCTCTTGATTTTGTAATAAACGTCACTGGCAGACCACAGGAAATTGTTCCTTCCAGAATTCCTGAACTCCAGGCCTATATGTTCCATTGCCTACTCAGCTTCTCCACTCAGGTGTCTAGGAGACATCTCAAAGTTAACATGTCCCAAACCGAACTGTGAAGCTTCCCCCTCAAACTTGTCCTGCCTTTAGTCTCGGTCAATGCCAGAACCATGTTTCCAGTTCTTCAGGTCAAAAACCTTGGAGTCAAAACCCACATTCAGTCCATGGAAAACCCCATTGACTCTATCTTCGAGATGTATTATATGAGATATATACAGAATCCAATTGTGTTTATCACCTTCAAACAAAAGCCACGATCATCTCTCTCCCAGGTTATTTATAATAGTCTCCTAAATGGTCTCTTCATCTCTACTTCCTCCTCCTCTGGCTATGCTCACCCAGAAGCCTCTGTTTTCTTTTTTAAAATAAGTCAGATCACATCACATTCAGCTAAAAAAACCTCCAAAGGCTGCTCATCTTACTCAACGTTACTTACAACAGGGAACTCCCTGACAGTCCAGTGGTTAGGACTCCGCACTTTCACTACTGAGGGCCCAGGTTCAATCCCTGGTCAGGGAACTAAGATCCTGTAAGTGGCGTGGCACAGCCAGAAATAAAAAAGGACTTACAGTGGCCCACCAAGCCCTACTGACCTCCTCCTATTCCACTCTCCCTTGCTTACCTACTCCAGCAACCCTGGCTTCTTGTTCTTCCCTGAATATGCTATGCCTGCTCCTGCCTCAGGGCCTTTGCACTTGCTGTTTTCTCTGCCTGAAGTGCTCTTCCCCTCTTCCCCCAAATATCACCACAGTTCTCTGTGGCAGTTCTAAAATATGTTCACAAATTCTTTGATACTCTCCCCTTCAAGAGGTGGAGCTTAATCCCTCTCTCCTTGACTTAGTGACTCAATCCTAAGAACTAGAGTAAAGCAGAAGCAATGGTGTGGGACTTCAGAGACTGTCATAAAAGGCACTACAGCTTCCTCCTCATTTGCTCTCTCTTGGATTACTCACCCTAGAGGAAGCCAGCTGCCATGTCATGAGAACACTCAAGCGGCTCTGTGGAGAGGTTCACATAGTGAAAAACTGAGGCCTCCTGCCAACAGCCATGGGGGACAGCCACCTTGGAAACAGGTCCTCCAGCCCCAGTCAGGCCTTCAGATGATGCAGCCCCAGCAAACTGCTTGACTGCAGCCTCATGAGAGATCCCAAGCCAGAACAACCCCACTAAGCTATTCCCAGACACCTGACCCTCAGAAACTGTGAGAGAATAAATCTTTGTTGTTTATAGCTCTACATTTTGGGGGCTTCCCTGGTGGCACAGTGGTTAAGAATCTGCCTGCCAATGCAGGGAACATGGGTTCAAACTCTGGTCCGGGAAGATCCCACATGCCGCAGAGCAACTAAGCCCATGCGCCACAACTACCAAGCCTGTGCTCTAGAGCCCACGAGCCACAACTACTGAGCCTGCACACCACAACTACTGAAGCCCGCGCGCCTAGAGCCCATGCTCCACAACTAGAGAAGCCACCGCAGTGAGAAGCCCGCGCACCGCAACAAAGAGTAGCCCCCGCTCGCCGCAACTAGAGAAAGCCCACGCACAGCAAGGAAGACCCAACGCAGCCAAAAATAAATAAATAAAATAAATAAATTTTTTAAAAAGCTCTATATTCTGGGATAATTTCTTATGTAATGATAGATAATCAATATGCTTGCTTTCTCATTCCTCTCAAGCTTTTGCTGCATTCCTCAGCTTTACCCTCCATATTCACTTCCTGAATTCAAGATTCATCCATTTTTTATGCTTGCTCTGATGCTATTTTTCTAAGGACTTGGCCTGGGCTGATCTTTTTTCACTACCACATGGGCTGGAAAAGGCCACCAGGTTTTAGATAGTGACAAGGTCACTCAGTCTCTTTCTTAAGAACAGGTCTGCTACAAAGGACAAGCACCTTGAATGCTGGTGGGTATGTCTTTCATACATGACCGATGACTGGTTTCCAAGGAGTTTAATTTAGTCAAACAGGCTCCAAAAGACACAAACAGTTCAAGTGGCAGACATCCCAAGTGGAGGCTAATCTGATTGTCCTTGGTGCCAGTACATTCAAATCTGTCATGTGTGGCCAGCCTGCAGTCATGTGGCACCAGAGGGGCAGCTGTATCAACAGGGCCCTTGCAGGTCCGCACATGACGTGGCCAGAGACGGAGTTTCAAATAGGGGAGAAGGAAAGAATGATTAGGGAAAACAAAAGGAAACCCCCTTGTACAGAAAGGAATTGCTAGCAGGCCTGTGTAGGGAGGCAAATCCTATAGTCAGGGCTGCGTTCTTGGAAAGCTGCGTGCCCGCTGCTGTTGTGTGATCGCCACTGCTGGTTATTTGCTCGTTAGCTGGGCGTGCTCTGAGGCCCTTCCAGCAGGTGGTATAATCTGACACTTTGACCAGGATAGCTCCACCCGGACACAGATTGCCACAATGTCCTTGGGATACAGCGTCTGTTCTGTTGCAGGGATAAAAATGCCACATGATAAAAAGACATTTTCTGAGTTTGTGTCATTGTGTGTCCTTTGGGTGACAGACGTACCCAGGAGGAACAGTCAGCCTGGTTCAGGCCCTTGCTCCACATTAACCATCTGTGGAGATCGCTTTACATCTTTGGGCTGTGGTTTCCTCAGCTGAAAAATGACCGTTTTAGCTCCCCTATTGCCTTCTGCCTGCAACCTTCTCTGAGTTGCTGGAGACACACAGTGAAGAACCACAGGCTGCATGTAGGTAAAGCAGGCAACACAGAACCTGGCCCAGAGCAAGCGGTGTTGATATTCAAGATAGTAATAATCTTTGGCCACTGGGGCAAGCGGCCCAGCAAATCCCTCCCACTAGACCCTGCCCAGTCTGCTTCCCTTACGAAGCCCTGTCTTACCCACCCAGCCCGCCAACCTGCAGAACCCAGGTGGACACCCTTCCCTGTTTGCCTCCCTGTGAGCCCTTCTTTGAGTCTCCTTCTCCCTTCTGTAATCAGCTAAGCCAACTCATTCTTTACTGCAGTGAAAAACGACTGGGAACAGCTTGCTGTATCAGGTATGCAAGGTGTTCTCGCTTCCAAAAGGTTAAGGCAGTTGGCGTTAACTCTTGACTGGGCTGATTTCAGGCAAAGTGGATAGGACTCCAGGGAGAAGTGGCAGGGATGGGAAAGGCCGCAGGGCTCATGGCGCTCCCCACTTTGGGCTGAGCTCTTGACTCACCTTTCACAGCGCCCTGACCTCTGGTGTGGAAACTGGCACAGCTGATTCCATGTCACGTGTCACGGGGCAGGTTACAAATAGCACGGGGATTAGCAAACCCATCCCAAAACGCCCAGTTCAAGGGCAGAGAAAGTGAGCAGTTTAAGTCCGGCAAATCATTAGCGACTGAGAACCAGGAAGGGGTTCGATGGCAACGCGGGACTGCGAATACCATGACGACCACACGTGTGAGTCTCGGAGCTAGGACCGGATGCCTGTACGCTTCGGGCATGTACGACCCTTGCCTCACACGCTAATGGAGCGCACGTTTCTGTGACCTGGTGTCTCTATAACCTCTTCGTCGGGGAGCTCGCGGCGAGGGGCTAGCCCCAGTGACCCCAGCCAAGGTCTCTGGAGCGGCAGAAGGGCCACAGGTCCCCGGGTGCACCCGTCCCAGAGGGCGCGGCGGCGGGAACGCGGGGACCCCTGCCTGGGTGGCGGCCACACCGAAGAGGGGGGCAGGCGCTGCCCCTTTCTTCCCCAGCCCCGGCCCAAATTCTGGGCTCTCGGCCCGGAAGGGAACCGGCTCCCTTCACGCCGCCCGGACCTCGACCGTCGCCTCGCGAGTTGAGACAGCCAGGAGAATCCCAACTTGCCGCCCCGTGCCCGCAGGGCCACGGGCCAAGGAGGAGGAGGAGGAGGCGGAGGGGGGGGCATTTTCCCGGATTCCTCGCGCGCACGGTTACGGACGCGGAAGCCGCCCGGTCCGCCGCCCCGCGCTCTCCACCCCGGAGCCGGGCGCGCCTCTGGACCCCGAAGGGCAGCACCCGGCGGCGGCCAGCTCCCGCCAGTCCGCCCTGCCCTGCCCGCGCCGGCGACGCCTCCTCCGTAAACACCGCGCGGCCCGCCCTCTGCGCCGGGACACACAGGTGGGAGTGTGCGGTGCGGCCCGCCGCCCGGGAGGCCGCGGGTGGAGGCGGGCGCCGCGCTGCCCGCCGACTGCCGGCGCAGACAGCGCCCTCGCAGGACGGAGCCTCAGGTAAGCGCTCCCGGCCTCCCGCGCTCCTCTGCACCCCGGGAGCCCGCGCTCTGGGGCCGCGGGGCGGGCACTGAGCTTTGGGGGCCAGGCTGGGAGCGAGGAGCGGAGGACCCGCACTGCACCTGCGCCCGCGGGGGCCGCGCGCCGAGCTCTGCGGGCTGGTGTTGCGCTCCGGCTCTCTAAACCCACCAGGCTCTTTCCCGTAAAGGACTTGTGCCTCTCTGCGTCAGTACCCAAACACAGCTTTGGACGTGGTGACATGCTGCTGATTTGGAAATGTCCTTTGGGAAACAGCGTTGGGGAGGTGAATTTGGCTTTGGGGAAATGAAATGTAGGTTGGTATTTGGAAAAGGTTTAATCTATTAGTGCAGATGTCTCTGAGTCAGTTTGTGAGCGCATCTATGGGGGGGGAGAGAGCGAACTACCCACATACTATTTTGGATGGGGATGAACACCTATGCCAGGTGCTGAGCCCACTAGTCCATGGAAAGGAAGCTACGAATCCAGTTTTAGGCTTTACTAGTATTGGGGAATTTGCCTTAAGGCAGTTGAAGCCTTGTGACTCACGACAAAGTCCAGGTCTCAATCCAAGGTCCAATGAATTGATAGGACTTTGTGGCAGACAGTCACCCCTCAGTCATATCTTCAGACCAGCGAAAGATATTACAGGACTCAGAATTTTTTTTAGTTAGTGCAATACTTTAAATGTTTGTTTCCGCTTAATTACATCTTCATAAATATAGTTTGTCCAAGTTTAACACGGAAGCTTGTTTCCCACCTCTATTTCCTTCTTTCTCCAACTTCCTTCTGATTGTATCTTACTTTTTCCTGGAAAAGCACTTGCTAGCATAAGACCAGTTGTTTCCTTTCTTTACCTAACCTGACCCTACTTGGACATGATTTGGGTTTGTCAAGATGGCCTTGGCTTTAGCGACTCAATCTTGAGCTCCTTCACGTGACCATGGATGCAAGTGGCACAAAAGATTTTAAAAGTTTTCTTTCCTTGAGCAAGTGAAAATGTTCTTTACACTTGGGTTGTCTTTTTGAGTGCCCCAACTTGAAGGGTCCTGGAAAAATATTCCATTCATTAGAGTAAGACAAGATAACTGGATAATAAATTCAGGGTGTGTAAGGTAGACAATTCTTTACCCACTGCTCGGGATACATTTAATATATGAGAGCCTTGAAGTACCGGGCTTGGGTGGTCTTATGGAAGGTGCTTTGCCACTTGATTTCATGTATACTCTTCTTTCAAAGTCAAGTTCTATTGCTGTTTAGTGTTTTGTAACTGGTGATTTTATCGGCTGCTTATTTTTAACTGGGTCTAAACCTTTTTGTGTAAGTGGGTGGCACCACGGAAGAGGGTGAGCAAGAGGCCACCTGCCCACCTGAGGGACAGGTGCTACCAGACCCCCCTGGGTTATACCAGAACCAAGCAGCCAGGCCACCAGATTTCAGGGCAGCCCCAATGTGTGCCTGTTTGAGAACTCAAGAGTCACATTTTGACAGAATTAACTTAAAAATCCACCAAACTCACGTGTTCCTGAACCGCCTTCCCATTCAGTTGAAACTTGGGTCTCCTGTAGATGTAGCCTTAGGATAAAGCACGGAATGGAAAGTTGCTGCAGTCTAAAATAGGAAATGGAAAGTTAGGTACTGAATGAAAATTTACCGACTTGGAAATACTCATAGCAGCTGTGATGAAATATGGGATGTTTGTAAATCAGAAACAATCCCTGTGGTTCTTCTTTCACTCACCATTGTTTTTATGTTTTGGGTTTTGGGTTTTTTTGGCCTGGGGAAGTGAGTCTGTTAAGACTCATAACAGGAAAAGCCACACCCATTTACTTTTGTTGCATGGGTTTTGATTTTTCAAGATACTCTTAGGTGCATGGTAATTGCATTTGCCCTTCTTGCATATCTTTATAAAATTACATGTTCAGGAGTTTCTGAATGCCAGTTCCTCTGACTCATGAACCAGTTCATTGTACTACAGTGTATCAGTTGCACAAAGTTCTGTTCCCTGTGATTTCATCCTAGTGTGATCTGGGAAAAAGAACAGGGCGGGTCAGGAACACCTGCGCCCACTTTAATTTGGTGTTTGGTTATGTCTGCAGAGTTGTTGAAACCATTGAAGGGAAGGAACACATCCCACCCACCTCGGGGAAGTGGCCTCTTCTGGCCATGTCTCCTGCAGCTGCTGCCGAGCCAGATGGGGTCCAGGGAGACAGGCGTGTCACCAAGCTCATTTTCTTCCTTTTTGTCATCGGTGCCATCCTGCTGTGTGTGGGAGTCCTGCTCTCCATCTTTGGGTTCCAGGCATGCCAATACGAAACCCTCCCAGACTGTAGCATGGTGCTGAAGATCTCCGGGCCCGCGTGTGCCGTGATTGGGCTGGGGGCTGTAGTCCTGGCCCGCTCCCGGGCACGACTTCAGCGAAGTGAGGAGCGCCTGCGAGGCAACCAGGGGGCCTCCGACCGAGCCTTCCTCTGTGGGGAGAGCCGCCAGTTTGTCCAGTGTCTCATCTTTGGGTTTCTGTTCCTCACGAGTGGTATGCTCATCAGTGTACTGGGCATTTGGGTCCCCGGGTGTGGCTCAGACTGGGTGCAGGAACCGCTGAATGAGACAGACACTGCTGACTCAGAGCCCCAGATCTGTGGATTCCTGTCCCTGCAGATCTTGGGACCCTTGATTGTGCTTGTGGGATTGTGTTTCTTCGTGGTTGCCCATGTTAAGAAGAGAAGCAACTCGAATGTGGGCCAGGATGCTTCCGAAAGTGAAGAGAGACAGACCCAGAACATGGAGCCCGTCCAGGTCACTGTAGGTGGGTGGCTGTCCTTCCTGTTCTTGTTCATATCACCATGGCTGTAGCATCAAGGCTTCACTGAGCTGCTCCCGGGTCTGGCCTAGATTCTCTTTCTCCTTCTCTCTCTTTGTCCCTGTCCCTGTGTGTGTCTCTCTCTCTCTCACACACATACACGCACGCAGACGCACACAGACACAGTTCTGCTGCTGTACTTATCCCCATAAGAATCCTTGAGCACGTCATCTCCTCCCAGCAATTCCTTATTATCTAGCGAAAGCATTGGGACATGAACTTGTGACCTTCACTAAGGTCACAGAGCAAATAAAGAGGAAAGTGAGAGGATCCTTGAGGAAAGCCTGGGAGCCTTCTAAAACCTCAGGTACCTGCCAAGTGACCCTGTTTCCCCTGTTATTCTCACACCAAACACTTATGGCACTTCTGGTTGTTGGAAATGTGGGTTCTCATCTCTGACTGGCTGTCTTTGGAAGTCCTGAACCTCTCCTGGCCTTACTTTATGTATTTATAAAATGGGCACTGCATTTCTAAGATTCCTGACAGCACTAATATCTAGGGTTCTGAATCTGTCACAAGTCCATTGGTCTTCCACGTTTTGAGGGAGTCTTCTGTACTGTTTTCTGCATCATTCTTCATTTTCTGTAATTTCATCCTTGGCTTCAGGGTCGGAGCAAGGTTTGGAAGCAGTGGCATAGACAAAGATGAAATATGACAGCACCTGTCGCTTCTTTCCTCCATGGAGTGCCTACAGAGTGTCCCTTTGGGTCCCCAGGGATCTGCAGAAGAGATGGATCACCATTTCCCAGAGTCAGGTCCCCACAGAACCATACCAGTAGCTTTGGCCTCACGTTCACACAGACAAAACACCCCCACCGCTGCTCATTTTTGCAAATCACTGTTTTATTTCAGTCTCCCACTCTGAAGCCACAGCCTTAACATGTAAAAGGCTGGGCGGGCAAAGAGGATTACAGAGCAGAAACCGTGGAAGGAACAGGGAAGGAAGGTGGCGAGTGAGATGTTTCTCACGGGTGGGGCTGTCTGTCGAGCTGGCGGTACTCACTGTGGGGATTCCCTGGGCTGTGGACCTTGCATGGTATTGGCCTGAGAAAGGAAGGGCAGATGGATTTACAGACGATCCTTGTGTTCAGCCAGGGTTGAAGCTCCCAACTTCCTTATTTGTGTGTTTATATAATTATGGTGACAACATCAATATTAGTTATGTGTTAATAATAGCAAACAAATATATAGGGCTTATTCTTGGGCCAAATACCCATCTAGGTGTATTTTAGCATGTACTCGTCAAGGGCCTGTTGTGTGAAATTCATTCACACCTACAACAATCCACTGAGGCAGATGCTCTTAGTGTCTCCATGTTAAAGATAAAGAAACCAAGGGTCAGGGATCCCAAGTAATTTGCCCAGCGTCATAAACTAGCAAGTGGCAGAGCCAGGATCCTAACGGAGGCGGTGGGCATGCGTATGCTATGGCCCTTGCATAGCGCCCTCCCCAGGCACTTGCTGTAATTCTGTTTCTGCAGGCTTCATCCTTCATCAGGTGTCCTGGGTTGTTGTTACATGACGAAAGGGCTCACCCAATATTATAGATGTTCTTAGTTCTTTCAGGGAACACAGTGGGGTCCAAGTAAATACTCTCATGAGACACTCACGGGCTTCCACTTAGTTGGGAGCATTTCAAGGTGTGCCCTTTGGGTTTACTATCCGGGAGTTTTGGGGCCCAGCTTTCTTCCTGGTGGTTGGAATGGGGGGCGGTAGGGAGCAGGGCTTGTGCTGGAGTGACTCCTGGGCGGTTCTGTCCTGATGTTGGCACTGCATAGTTTCAAATCTTTTCCACATAACCGTTTAAGTCCTATCAAACCTGTGAAAATCTGGCACCTTGTCTTTCTCTCCTTTGGTATTATGGAATAGGGTTTACGTTGTTAGAAATCATGCCTTTTAGCACAGTTGTTAAGACTCCAGGCATTGCCTGTCAATGGTCAGTTCTGCCTTGTGAGGGAAATTGGGGTGATAAGAGGCAGTCCTTGGCTGAGTGCCAGAATGCAGCTCCTCCCAGAATGGAAGACAGAAGAGAGAAACCAAGATGCATGATATCTGCATTGTGGGCACACCTAGTGCTGGACCCTGGATGCACAAGCAGGCGTATGGTCAACTCACACAGGACATCAAGTCTTTCAGGACATAGTGGAAGGGAAACCCCCGGGGCGTGGGACTTTCCGGGGAGAGCAGGAGGGCTAGGAGCTGACCTGGCAGAGGGGTGGCTAAGCCTCAGAGATAACTGGAGACTCTGAGTACTTCCTTGTCTGTGTTTGATAGGTGATCAGCCTGCTTTAGAGGCTTGTTTCCAGATCCTTTGTCCTACAATGTGTAATTAAAGTGAACATTCAACCTACCTTCCTCTGACCTACGAAGACCTTCTGAAAAAATTAAATGAGAATCCCAAGACCACCACTATGCTTTTTCCAGCTTCGGTTAGCGATGTATATTAAAAGCTTGAACCGCCATCTCCTTGCAGAAGGAGAGATGGGGGTAATGCGTTTTCTGCAGGGCTAAGTTACCTCTGGGGCGGCGACCGAGGCATCAAGGTGGAGAGTGGAGCCACTGGCCAGACTGCCAGTCGGGAATGTTTCTTCAGACATGCACATAGGTGCCACTTGCTGGTGGTTGTGAAGAAAGTCCCTCTGAGGATGTGTTACAGTTGAGAGAGCTTGCCCCGTGCTCAGCACCGTTTTAACCCCGCGCGCAAATCCAGTCCTCCTACCTGTCCTCTGAGGCAGGTACAGTTACAGCCTGCCGTTTACAGATGCGGTGGCTGAGGGAGGCCTAGAGAGGGCACGTAACTTGTTCAGGGCCACGCTTGGTGGGAACTGGCAAGTGGAACCCCGGTAACTCTAGAGAACCCTGCAGCTACCTAGGTGAGCATCAGCTCTGCTACCAGTACAAACCATCTCCTCCCTGCAGGGAAGTAAAGTCCTCTTTCCTCTTTCATTCTTCCTGAGCTGTCATTTGGTGCTGCCAGCTTATCAGAGGCCACCCTCAGACCTCATGTCTAGAAGGTTCTGGGCAACTCATCTGGTACATTTTGTGTTGGAATCAAATTAGAGCTTGCATCTGGTCCCCAGTTCTCCTCGCCCAAACGCAGGGATGTCTTTGGAGTGAACAGTACCAACAGAAATGCAACAAAACAAAACAAAACAAAAAAAAACCCTAGCTTTTCTTTGAGTTTGACTTTCTTTTGTAAAGCTTGGAAGAAACATTGGTAGATAAAAAAAACTCTTCAAGTGCATAAACCACAACTATGGAAATAGGGATGATGGGCTGTATTGTGGCTGTACTGGCATTTGTTCAGAGTTGAAACTGCATTTGAGGAGTGGAGGCACTTTATCCAACAGCTAACTTTTGAAGAATTAAAATTGTAAGTAGAAAACGAGAAAAACTTTGTAGCAGCAGACATCCCAGGGGAGGTAAGGAACATTGTTAGCAAATGCTTCACAGAAATGCTTTAGCTCAGACTTGCTATGAAATATAGGCCCACTATTTTTTTTTCATGTGGCAAAATAGACAACATACAATTTACCAGTTTAATCATTTTAAAGTGTAGAGTGGTATTAAGTACATTCACCATGTTGTACAGCCACCACCATGATCAATTCCCGGAAGTTTTTCATTATCCTGAACAGAAACCCTGCCTGCATTAAACACTAAGTCCAGTCGCCCTAGCCTCCAGCCCCTGGCAACCTCTGCTCTCCGTCTCTGTAAGTTGGATAGGCTCACTTTTAAATTCTGGTGTTTTGACCTTTTCTATAGATGGGCCAAATATATAATTAATTTCTTTGGCTGTTGCTCACTTGCTTGCATTTAGTACTCATCTATCATCAATGAAATGTTGTGTTTCCTTAGGTGATGCCGTGATCATATTCCCACCTCCTCCACCACCTTACTTTCCTGAGTCTTCAGTTTCTGCAGCTACTCGGAGTCCTGGGGCTGACAGTTGGCTCCCAAATGAAAATCCACCTTCATATTACAGTATTTTTAACTATAGGTAAGACTTTCCGTTTGAACGTCAAGAGTAGGAAAGTTTAACCTTTTCAGGCCTATGTCTACGTTCAGGCCAAATCAGCTTTAAGGCTATGGTAGAGGTGTAGCCATCCAAGTGTGAGTATCTTTTTGGCGGACATTGTGCCAGAATCATTGCCTTAATATTCCTAGTACTTTTCAGGAAACTTTGGGCGGCACATGAGTTAAAAATTATAAAAGTGGTTATGCCGGGTTCATATGAAGCCTTCTCCAGGCATCTTTATGTGGTCCTAGCAGGGCTGATCCTCAAAATGCTGCACAAACCCATCAGCCATCCCGAGCGCTGGAGCAGAACTCAGGAGGCCCCTGCTAGGTTAGGCTTTGCTGCTTTAGACTGTGGGAGGGGTGAGGGTCCCAGGGGACCTCCAGCAGGTACTCCTCCAGAGCATTTCGGTATCTAATGGAGATACTTGAGTGGCCGGCTAAAATCAACCTGCACCCTGACTTGACCACGCCAGGCTTCTCCCCTCAATATTAAGTTGTTCCCTGGGCCTCAGAGCCTTCTCAGATTGACCGAAGAGAAATACGAGATTCCCATCCCCATCCCCCACGCTTTGCCACAAATTTGGAGGCGTACCTGGCGTCAGATTAAACAGTGTAAATGTAAGTGTTTTTCCTGGAGGCAGAGGGATGCCATTGAAGGCTGTGGAGTCACGGCAACAGGGTCCGAGCAGTGGTTAGCACAGCTCGTGCTGGGCAAAGGCTGGGGGTGACCAGACCGGAGAGGAAGCCTTCTCTCACGGACAGGCTGAAGGTAACAGGAGCCTGGGACTGGGGTGGTCAGAAGGGGAGGAGTGTGTGAGGATGTCTGCTGTGGAGGACGACAGGGATGAAGAGCGGAGATGATGATGTCAAGGGGGAGTGACAGGGACAGGGAATGTCCCTGACTGAGGAAGACAGAGACGGGGCCTGTGTAAGTGGGAGAAGATGGTGAGCTGGCTTGCAGTAGAGGGAGAGCGAGGTGTGGGCCTTTGAGCTAGACCGGATGGGCCAGGTCTTGGGAGAGAGATGGGGTACTGGAGACGAAATGGCAAAGAGGCTGCTGAAACCAAGAGGGCAAGGTGACAGAGGCCTGTGGAGAATCCACGGGCGGGGAAGGCATGAAAGGAAGGAGTTCTGGGAAGCGTCAGGGACGAGCAGGGCTGGAAAAGGCTCTGCACCTTCCCACATGGGAAACCAGGGTGTAGGAAGTGAAGGTAGGATCAGTGGAAAATCTCACAGGGAAAAGCAGGCCTCAGTGAAAAGTGGCTTTTGAGACACTGAGACACGTGCATTTTTGAAAGCAGTGAGAAGCAGGACCTGAGAGATGTCACGAGTGTGCTAGGGACGGGGGCTGCCATACCTGGTCATTCATGTTTCACGGCACGTGTTCTTGTACCTCAAACCGGGTGATGAGCTGGAGATCTGACCAGGGATGAATGCAGGAGTTCCCCTGTGTGGGTGAAAGGGAGGTTAGGTTCTGGACATTTGTAGAATTCTCTTAGTGAATTTTTGTATTCTTTTCTCCAATGATGAACTTCCCAGAGCCCTAAAATAAATGTCTATTTCTACGGCTACTAAAAACTACTCCTACGGCTGTTGCTATGCCAGAGTCTGCCTTTTCTTACATTACCTCAGGTCATTCTCATAGTTACTTAGAAGGTAGGCACTGTCATCATCCCCATTTTACAGATGAGGAAACTGAGGCTTAGAGAGGTTAAGTAACTTGCCTGAGATCAGACAGCTAGAAAGCAGCAGAGTGGAAATTCAGATGCAGGTCTGCCCTTTGCTAGACCCCACTCCATTAACCAGTACGTCTTCCTGCCTTCCTTCAAGTTTTTGGCTTAATGATTTAATTTTCTCTTTGCATAAGTTTGTCTGCCTTCCATTAGCTGTCTCAGAAGATGAAGTAGCAGAGAAGAGTAACTGTGTGTGTGCATGTTCTCTTCGGAAGGCAGCTATGTGTTTGTACTCTACGTCTTTTCATTGACAAGGGGAATGACAACAGGAGTGAGACAGTCTTAAAGTAACCATGAGCTCTAAGGACAGGAAGGGGTAAGAAATCAAAACATATCTATGCAGAATAGAATATGGAAGAAATTACTCTGGAGACCCTTGCAAATGTTTCCAAATGCATCTAATTAAACATGTGAAAAGAACCTGGTAGTTAAGGCATGTGACTGAGTCCCTCTGCTCCCTTTCATGTTCTCTCTCCTTCTTCATAGGATCCCAACTCCTGAGGGCCAAGGCGCAGCCTCTGAGAGAGACTGTGAATCTATATATACTATTTCTGGGACTGCTTCATCCTCTGAGACCTCACACACTCCCTGTCTCTCATCCGAATTGCCTCCCAGATATGAAGAAAAAGAAACTGCCGTCCCCACATCCTTGTCTCCATCTTCTGAGCCTTCCCCACCATGAGCCATGGACTCCAGTTCAATTTTTTATAGAATCAATCACTATTTAATTTGTTTTTCTAATAAAAAATACAATAGAATCGGCTATGTCCTGACTTCCTGGTGTAGTATCAACATCAATAACAAACCTTCCAGATTAAGCTGTCAATGCTTCAGACCACAGGAGAGGCAGCGTGCCTCTGGCTGGGAATCTAAGATGCTTCTCTCATTGAGGCCTCCTACTCTGGGAGGTGGGTGGGATCGTTCGCATTGGTGGATGAAAAAGCAGAGGCTCAGAAAGGCTCATTAACTTATTCAAGGTCACATTGCTTCTAAATGGTGAGGTTGGGCTTTGAACCCATCTAGCTAGCTTCTGAAAGCGAGGTGCATATCTCTACCCTGTGCTGTCAAAGGCCAACCAAAAGTACTGGTTAATGTTTAGCTTGGCCCATTGGGTTTCCAATGTTCATTGCTTCTGGGGCAGAGAAACCAGATTACTTTCCTCATTTCTTTATTATTTCTTGCAGCTCTTCTTCCCTTTCTTCTCCCTCTCCTCCTTCTTCCTCCTCTCCCTATTCCTTTTTTCTTTTTTTTTTTCATTCTGAAAGAAGGTAGTTAGGGTAACTAGGTAATTTTCACTGGGGCAGTTACCAGCATACTGATATCCTAAAGCCTTCTTATAGTGATGTGACATTTTTGGAGAAGAAATTTCTTGGGGCACTTTGGTAACTAGATTTCCCCTGGAGAGGTTCATGAGGGATGAGTCTTTCTGTACTATAAGGTGCCCGACTGTCTGGACCACCAACTTTTATTCTTATGAAGCTATTGCTGAACAAAAGTGTTTGTATAGTTGGGTGCAATAATATTTATTTACTTCTAGATATAAACCTTAAAAAATAATCACTAAGTATTATCAGTTCTACCCAGGAAAAACTGATTTTTAGAATCTAAAGTCTGTAGGAAAAAAAATAAAGTCTGTAGGAAAAAAAATAAATTCTGTAGGAACTTAGCATTTTTGTTAACAAAATTTGATGTAGCAAAAATGAACTTTTTAGGCCTTTTACCACAAGCCATCATCCCCATAAAAATCAGTATTATCCAGCATTTAAGTGCCTGAAAGCAGAATTTAAAGGTGTTAATGCTCCAATAGTTTAACTGAAGTAATGACTGATTTCATGGGAATTGCCACTGCAATAAATCAGGAGTAACAGTCTGTACCAGAAGGACTGACCTATTTCTAAACTGGACATTTATTAGACTGAACTGCTCTTAAAATTCTGCTTCTTTTTTTTCCTGGAAGGTTAATTATTCACATTTTAATATTAGAACAAAGGGTAGATTATCACCACTTCCTTCTGTTATTTGCTTAAAATGATTAAGCTGAAACTTCTAAGTAGAATTAAACACTTACGAGTTCTCATATATAATCAAGAGCATTTTTAGTGGCTCAAAGCTAGGGTTTGTAACTGGTCATTTTACTATTATATGCTAGTAAACTTAAATGGCAGTTGTTAGCAATGCTTAGGTATAAGTTGGACCTTCTGGTTGGGGAAGTCTGCCTTACCTCCATCGGTCTCCGCAGTATTCAGCCAAGTGGGGACAGATGAAGCCACAACAATGAAAGGGGTCCGCAAGCGTGAGATGTTTATTGCAGAACTGAATCGTGGGCAGCTGAGCTGGGACGAATCATTTAGTCATACGAAGATGCATTCTTTGCCTATCAAGGTTCTGGCAAAGGATGGTAGCTTCTGAAAACCCATCTGGTGGTCTGCTGCTTATTTTCTTTATATGTGTTAAATTTTTTTTGATGTGAAATTAATCGTATAAGATTAACCATTTTAAGGTGAACGATTCAGTGGCATTCGTTAAATTCACAACGTTGTACAGCCACCACCTCGATCAAATTCCAAAATATTTTCATCACCCCCAATAAAACCCCATACCTAGTACGTAGTCACTCCCCACTCCCTCCCTCCTCCCTACCTCCTGGCAACCACCAATCTGCTTCTGTCTCTGTAGATTTACCTTTTCTGGGTATTTCATATAAGTCATGTCATACAATATGTGAACTTTTGTGTCTGCCTTTCATTTAGCATGCTGTTTTAGAGATTCATCTACGTTGTAATGTGTATCAGTACTTCATTCCTTTCTGGAGCTGAATAATATTCCACGTATGTATGTGCCACAGTGTATTCACGATGGGCATTTGGGTTGTGTCAGCCATCTGGCTGTAGTGAGACACGTGCTTTTTTTAAAGCAGCTGTTTTTTTTTTTAAATAATACAATTTAATACTCAAGCTGCTGAAGAATTTAGGAAAAGAAAAAGATCCAGTGACCTCAAAGTGTCTCTAGAGGCTAGTTCATCATCACATCAGACTTTTTGACTAAAACCTCCCTGTAACTCACAGAGACTTGAGGCCGTCTCCCTCTTCTGCCCTGCAGGCTGTAGCCCTGGCACCAAGGACACAGAGGGCACATAACTGTTCCCATGTCTGTCTCCTCTACTCGACTGTGAGCTCACTGAGAGCAGGCCATGTCAGATGTTTCTTATGATTTCCAGAGTCTGTTCCTAAGAAGGCCCTCAGGGAGAAGCAGGAAGGAATCCAGCCCTAACTCCAATCATTTCCATCTGTGGGGCAGGTGAAAGATCTCAAGAGAAGGGAAAGCTGTTTCTACCAGCAGCCTCTTACCCCAAGTTCCAGCTGCTTACCAGTCACACCCTTTGTATCAATTATACTCTCTGCAGCTTTAGCCACTGCACTATTCAAAGATTCACTGCCAACTTTGTTCATTCTCCTGGAGTTCAGAGCCCGCTCCTGTTTGGTGGTACCAAAGGCTTCAATGCAAGAATCCATCTTTTCTCTAAAAGATTTGGTGTGACTCTCTGGTGTCGATTCACTCTGAACTGATTCATCGGAAAACAGCGGCTGCATATTGAACAATCCAGCATCATATACTTCCATTTGGCCAGAGGTCGTGTTCAAAATTCCCACAAAGTACCTGCAGAGAGTATTGCATTTCAGGGCTCCAGTCCCAAATAGTTAATAGTGTAGCTATTAACATTCATGTACAAGTATTTGTTGGAGTACCTGTTTTCAACTCTTATGGGTACATACGTAGAAACTGAATTGCTGGATCATACGTGAACTTTAAGTTTTTGAGGAACTGAACACTGTTTTCCACAGAGGCTCCACCTTTTTATATCCCCACCAGCCCTGTACAAAAGTTCAATTCTTCCACATCCTCACCACCATTTATTTTCTGTTATTATTATTGTCACCTGAGTACAAAGTGGTATCTCATTATGGTTTTGATTTCAATTTCCCTAATGACTGATAATGTTGAGCATCTTTTCATGTATTGTTTTGAACACCAAATGTTATCAGGAGCATAAGAAACCTTACTCCAGATTTTCCTCCTGTGGCATTGGGAGGTATGAAAATAGTGATGAGGTCGGCAACTTCAGGTGGAACTACCCACGCCAGGTACTACCATGCTGCCTCTACACTATGAAAACCACTTCTTGTGATATCTTTGTCCTCCCCTGGAGATCAGTTAAGTGGACTAACCCAATCAACAAATTCTAATGAAACTGAAGGGACAAGGTAAGGTCCCTTTGGTATTTCTATGAGCTATGGGGGAATGGGCAGGCCAATGAACAGTTTTCAGAGGATGAAAGCTGAGGGGGAAGGTAAGTATGTGTGCATCCAACTTCCATCTGAAAAGTTGGAGTGGGGTGAGGAGAAGGGCATTTAAAGTTGGCCTCTTTAACACTATCCCTATCAAATTACCCATGACATTTTTCACAGAACTAGAACATATAATCCTAAAATTCATATGGAACCATAAAAGACCCAGAATTGCCAAAGCAATCCTGAAGAAAAAGAACAAAGCAGGATGCATAACCCTCCCAGGTTCCAGACAATACTACAAAGCTACAGTAATCAAAACAGTATGGTATTGGCACAAAGAAAGACATATGGATCAATGGAACAGAATAGAGAGCCCAGAAATAAGCCCATACACCTGAGGTCAATTAATCTTCTACAAAGGAGGCAAGATTATACAATGGAAAAAAGATAGTCTCTTCAGTAATGGTGTTGGGAAAGCTGGACAGCTGCCTGTAAATCAATGAAGTTAGAACACTCCCTCACGCCATACACAAAAATAAACTCAAAATGGCTTAAAGACTTAAACATAAGACATGACACCATAAAACTCCTAGAAGAGAACATAGGCAAAACACAGTCTGACATAAATCATAGCAATGTTTTCTTAGGTCAGTCTCCCAAGGAAATAGAAATAAAAACAAAAATAAACAAATGGGACCTAATCAAACTTACAAGCTTTTGCACAGCAAAGGAAACCATAAACAAAATGAAAACACAACCTGAAGAATGGGAGAAAATATTTGCAAACAATGAGACCGACAAGGGCTTAATTTCCAAAATATACAAACAGCTCATACAACTCAACAACAAAAAAACAAACAACCCAACCCAAAAATGGGCAGAACACCTAAATAGACATTTCTCCAAAGAAGAAATACAGATGGCCAGTAGGCACATGAAAAGATGCTCAACATTGCTAATTATTAGAGAAATGCAAATCAAAACTACAATGAGGTACCTCTTCTCACCAGTCAGGATGGCCATCATCAAGAAGTCTACAAATAACAAATGCTGGAGAGGGTGTGGAGAAAAGGGAACCCTCCTGCACTATTGGTGGGAATGTAAGTTGGTGCTCTCACTGTGGAAAACAGTATGGAGGTTCCTCAGAAAACTAAAAATAGAATTACCATATGATCCAGCAATCCCACTCCTGGGCATATATCCAGACAAAACTATAATTCAAAAAGATACATGCACCCCTGTGTTCATAGCAGCACTATTCACCATAGCCAAGACATGGAAACAACCTAAATGTCCATCAACAGATGAATGAATAAAGAAGATGTGTTACATATATACAATGGAATACTACTCAGCCATAAAGAAGAATGAAATAATGCCATTTGCAGCAACATGGATGGACCTAGAGTTTATCATACTAAGTGAAGTAAGTCAGAAAGAGAAAGATAAATACCATATGATAGCACTTATATGTGG